TATAATGACGAGGAACTTGTTTTAAATCATATCAAAGACGGAGCATATTGAGATGAAATACTACATTTGGTAAGGAATTATAAGCCAAATAAAATAAAAACATCTGCGCTGAAGATAAGGATAGTGCTGACAGATCAACTTCCAATTCATTACGCGCCCGCCGCGGCGATCCCCCCGCCAAGCAGCGTGAAATTGACAAACAGATTTCGGATTTCAAAACATACTTTCGCTTTAGATCCTTTACATATTAACAAATATATATCGGAAATTCTATTTGATATAATCGAAAGTTTAAGCTTACTTTTATAAAATATCTCTTACAGTCTGCAAAAAATAGGATCCAATTCGAAAATTAAGGAACAACGCAATCATCAACATAAAATTAGATAATTTTAGCTTATACGTCCATTATACACAAAACGCGCACGCGAAAACGTATTCTGCACTTGCGCACACTCATATGCGCAGTCGTAAAAGGTCTTACGCGCACGCGTAAACGCCTATGCGCATGTGTCAACGCAGCGCATGCGCAGAAAGTTTTTAGTTTTGAGGTCCGGATTATAGATCATTCCGAATTATGGGTGTCCGAATTAACGACTTTTGACTGTATACTGTAGTCAGTTAAGTATAAAGCTCTTTATTTTTAAGAGCAAAATTTGCGAAGTTAAAATATTACTACTCGCTCATTCAATCATGTTACTGATTTAAAATACAAAATTCCTTGATTTTGTAGGCACTTTTTTCCTTTAACCATTTCTAGCAAAATCAAACATACATGTGAGGCAAAAGTGTAGCTAGGGTTTTCAGCACTCGGGACAAACGCGGGTTTTGCTCCCCTTTCTGTGGGCTAAGAAGGGAAAAACTTTCATTCTAAATTTTGTAACATCAATTTAGTGCCCTCTGGATGCTGCACCCGAGGACAAATGTCCCCCTTTGCCCCATCCTAGCTGCACCATTGATGTGCGATCAATTATATCCCAAGACTGTAGTGCAAACTTGATAATGCAGATGCTTTCTCAGAACAGTGGAAACATTTCGCCCCTTTTCATAATGGGTTCTGCATTAGAAATTAGATAGTACGCCTAAGTTGTCCTTTCAGGTTCGTGGTTATGTTGGCATTATTATACCCCTATTTATGTCATTGGCACTAATCCCAAATTCTCTCATATTCTATAGAGAATATGAGTAAGTGATTAAGTAGTAGTAATTAACAGTAGGTAATTAAGTAAGTATTAATGTATTCCAGACCAGAAGAAGGGACAGCAATTGGTACTGCATGTCTACCACATAACAGCCAAATGATTTGGTGATTAATATTTCTGATTTTGAGAATTTAAAATAGAGAAACACTGTTTCAGTGAGAAATTACACTTATTTTTATTACTGTGTATTTCTGAATATAAGATGAACCTTGCATAAGCCAAGAGTGCAATTTTTTCCCTTCAAAAATTATCCAAAATTCAAAATCCATATATAAGTCAAAATGAAAGAAAAAAGAAAACAGTGTAACAAAATTCCATAAAGATGAAAATGTCAAGCAGATAAAATGACTGGAATATATTCCAATGAAATTGCTGTAAAATCCTAGGCGTCAAAGATGACGGTTTTAACTCTTGTAATCCTATCTGAAGTATACCATAGTTATTTCATCTACCACATTTATTCCATTTGTTGACTCATATATGGTCTGTGGCATCTGTTTTGTCTGAAAGATGAGCAAGAAGAGAAATTCTTATGCTGCAAATTTCAAACTACAGATGATCACATTTGCTAAAAATTCTAGCAACATAATGGCTACTCGACATTGCTCTGCAATTGAAAAACAAGTTCAAGAGTGGAGAAAGTCACAAATTTCGCTAGCATCAGATCTTTTGTTTTGGTGATAATGCAACAAACCAGCATTATAAACAATTTCAAAAACAAGTCATTTTCATGAAACAAATTTTTTCATAAACTTAAGAAATAAAAAAGTGCATTATTTAGGAATATATTGCTTGTGCCCGGCTAATGGAAAAATACCTGCATTTTTTGTGAGATTAGCAGATGTGTATACTATTAGCCAATCTCAGTAATTTAGCTCAGAAATAGTTCCTAAAATTCTTGGCCTATACATGGCACTATATGGTAATTTTTACTTATGCTTGTTATACAGTGGTTGTGGTCCATTATTTTCTCCCACAAAGTCACAATCTAATTTGCAATTATTTCGCAGATTTGCAGTAGATGTACAAAAAATTATATAATGAGGAAACATCTTGTGGGGCTGCAACGAATGCAGATGTTGCATGGCCATAAACTGGACCTGAACATAATTCAGTGTAAAATATGAAAAAAGCATGATTCTTCATTCATGCATGAAGTTCTTGATTAGTTCTCTTCTGTTCCTATAAAGAATATTTTTAGTTCACAAGTTACATACAGGTATATAGTTCAGTCTTATTAAGTGATTTGTTTGACAGAGCCATGACACAAACAGGTCACATAGAATACTTGTAGAGACATTAGGTTATTTTGAGGCAGGAGAGATGAAAAATGAGCAACGTCTTTGCCAGGAATCGAACTGCGGACCTCTGAAATATGTGCCCGGTGTGCATACCACCACACCAAGAAGGCAGGAGAAATACCCTATATACTATGTGACCTAACTGCTGTTTCATGGTATTCTTAAACAGTTGTATAATACTACATCACATGCTTCATCCAGATTTAAGGTCAACATTTATTTTGCCTTGCTCTTTAAATTTATGCAAAAGCAGAATAGTATCTAGTTATTATATCCTTGCAACACGTGTGCCTCATATGTTCAGATCATAATACTTTTATAATTTTTTTAGTGGCTCCTATGAATTTATGGAGCTGAGAGTCATCTTTTTTAAATTATATTAAGTGCATAAATTAAATACAGTCTAATTATCTGAAAAATAATCATTATATACACAGGGTATCTTAAATGCCATAAGGTCACATAATGTTAGGGAGGTTAGAAGAAATAAAATGCCATTGGAATAGTTTTGACAATGAGCTATAGGAGGCTAGTAGTACAAGGTCTTTGTCAAAAGACTTTTTTTTTTTTTTTTTTTTTTTTAAATTTGGGAGCATCTTGTTCCTTTTTCTTGATCTAGAAAGTACTGTGGGTTCATGCATATGTGTCTGTATAATAATGGCATAAACTCATATGGAATTTCTGAAAAATCATTTAGATGTACTTCCAACGTGTTCTGATCAAACTACTGTAATATTAAGAACAAATCTTCAAAAATTTCCTAACAGTGTAATTTGGCATTGCTTAACTCATTGTTTACAATTAACACCAAAAGATTCAATAAAAATATATAATTATGAAATTAATCATTTTATCACTTACTTTTTTCTGGTTATTAACTACTAAAAAGTTTTTGCCAGTAGATCGCATTAAAGTGCACTAGGCAAAGATATTTCCAAATAAATGGTACTAGGGACACCCGTGGGCAAAGAAAATTCAGCTGCGTGAGCAGGCATATCTTAATACTTACGAAAGTAGGCGTTCATCATAAAAATTTGTGCAGTGATAAGCAGTGGCATTAAATTGAAGCATGCATTGTACATTTTATGCTTTTATCACCAATCCTCCCCCCACCAAAAGTAAGATTAGTAAAGATCCAGGGTTCAAAATATTAAAAATTAGCAGCATGATTGGTCTATGATAGGCAGCATGCAGTTAATGAATGACTCTTGCTGTATGCTGGCATTTTGCATAGAATGATAAATATAAGGGTTTCTCAAACCTTCTCCTAAATTTGGAATTTTTAAAAGATCTGGCTTTGTTGCTCATTATACTATAAGAATTACTATATCTGATATTTTGTGATTCCCTGTCCCATTTTAAACATTTTCTTTTCAAGAAAAATTTTTTGAATTTTTTTGCTTTTGTAAAAAGTAAAGCATTTCTTTTGATGTTCTGTTCTTATAAAAACAGTGTGAGTTCTTTACTAAAATTTTCATAGCTCACCACTGGTGTTGATGCACACTTTGTTCATGAGATATATGATTTCAAATTCCCAAGATATCATTACTGGCTGATCAAATGAAAGGACACCCATGACTTGTTCTCTGCCTCTATAGATGATCAAACTTGAAACTCACCAGTTTTAATATAAGGCTATGTGTATCAAGAGTCATCAAATACTCTCATGAATAATAGGAAGGAACTTATTAAAAGCATTTAGTTAGTCTTTAGCAAAATTCAGAAGATGCTTAGCACTAGCAACACTATGCATTGCAGAATATGTTATATAGTCCATAATCCAAAGAGACACATGTGTTGATATTAATTTAATAATTCATTAATATTAATTTAAAAATTTGAACAATTTGAACATTTACTATGAGGTATATCATATGGGACACACTCATTTCCTTGAAGGCGAAATCCTGGATGTTTGTAAATGTATTATATCCGTGTGACATGGGGCACTCTAAATATGCAGCAAGCTGAAAGTCCGCTTGAGTGGTTGGAGGTGGAAGAGGGTAGGAAAACCTCGGACTAGGTCCCTCTGGAGTGCTCCCCATCAAAATTGGTTGGGGGCGGAACTGAGCAAAATCTTACTGTCACCTGTGTGGTGCTCGAGGTTCTTGCCAACGACAGGTACAATCTTGTACTCCTTGCAGTGATGAATTTCGTGAACTTGTTCTGGTCTTACTGTCAGACAAGTGAAATAAGTCACGACACAACAGATTATTATATATTTAATCCTTTTAACCTTTCTTGATTTATATGCAATTAAAATGTTCATCTATTATCAAGTGATAATCTTAATATGAATTAAATTATGTTCTGAAAGAATTGAAATTCTCCTATCTTATTTATATATAAATATTTATCTTAAGTAGATAAATATATTCAAAAATCCGTTGCATAATAAAATTTTTATTGGATGTTTTTTACACTTTCAATACTTGATTGCTGTTTTTTAGCATATTAATTTTGATTCGACTATAGTAAAAATATGCAATATTTTCAGCATAACATCTGGTAGTAATCAGAGGAAACGAATTACATTATCCAGCAATCTAAAAGTTGAGAAAATAACTCTATTATCTGCTGCATTACCATTACCAATTAAAAAAATAAAGATGGTAAGCATATAATATTATGTAAAATTTTGATTTATTTCAGATAATGTCATTTTCAATTTTTAACTCGGCAAAAATAGCAAAAACCTTTTTCTGAAAGTAATTAAAATCATGTCTTCTATCATGTAAAATAAAGATGCGCATTACATTTTAGGTAATGCTTCTTTTTTTGAAAATGCTCCCAGAAGCTGATTTTTTCAGTTCATAGTTTGAAAATTATGTATCTGTTATATATTAGTCTATTATATATAATAACTTTTATAAAATGCTAAAATTAAATTGTTGCATCATTAAAAAAGAACGTGTTTCAAGATTTTTATATCATACAGATTACAGAGTAGTATGTATAAGATAACTTGCGTAGTTTCATTGAAATTTTTTAAAGCTGATTTGCATAGTCAGAATCAGATGGCTCTCTGAGTATTGTAATATTTTTCTTTTTCAAATTTGAGTTCTTCTCATTGACTTGATTTTCACAGAATTTTGTAAACAATTCAAAAACATAAAATAGACTTTTTGTGGACATCTTCTTTAACTGTATGGTATTTTTTATTTCTTCTTCTGAACAAAACTTATATTCTCATATAGTTACCTCTTCAATGTTGAAAATGCTTAGGAATCGCATGTCTTAAGTCTAGATTATACAGAGGATATTCTAATGTTAACAGATTGATCCCAGTCAGTGCTGCCAATGCTACAGCAGCAACATCCAGTTGGATATTGTGTTGCAATCAAATCACTGTTCCTTGAATGAACCTAATTTTAAATTACCCATGGCTTTCAAAGGCTGTAATGGCATAAAATGTAAATAATTAGTTTGAAAGCAATTCACAGATATTTTTAATAATTATAAATGTTAAATTTGCATATCATTGTGCTATTGTTTTTTGGCAACAGTTTTTATCTTTGGAATGCAATTTGTTAAAAATAACAGAATATAAATTTTTGACTATTGAGTTGGTGAATAAAATTATATTTGGTGATTATTTAGTAATTTTTTATTTTATTTATTATTATTATTATTATTATTATTATTGTTATTGTTATTATTATTATTATTGTTATTGTTGTTGTTATTGTTGTTGTCGTCATTAGTCGTCATCATCATCATCATCATTATAATTATCATTATAATTATCATTATTATTATCATTATCATTATTAGCATTATTATTATCATTATTAGCATTATTATCATTATCATCATCATCATCATCATCATTATTATTAATTATTAATTATTATTATAATTATTAATTATTAATTATTATATTATAATTATTATAATTATTATAATTATTATACTTATTATTTATTCTTCTTTTTTTTTTATTCTATTATTATTATATAATAATAATTATTATTAAATATATTATTATTATTATTATTATTATTATTACTACTACTACTATTACTACTATTATTATTATTATTATTACTACTATTACTATATTATTATTATTATTATTATTATTATTATTATATATATTATTTTTGTCTCCATCTTATTATGTTGTATCAACTTAGGATTCATAATAGGTAGATGACCCAGCTTGTTTATTTAGCATGACTACAGAAATGTAACAGAAGCAACTTAATAGATAGCAAAGCGAATAAAATGAGCATTAAAATTCCACCATTTTGGTGTGAAAAACCTGACGTTTGGTTTTTCCAAATATATGGAACATTATTAAAGACACTAAGCCTAATAAATATTCTGTGGCGAAATCAAGACTTTTAAATGTTTTCAAAGAAAATGAAAATAAGCGAATTCAGCGTCTGGTCACTGGATTAGACCTCAGAGATTATAAACAAAGTCAGCTTTTGCAGCAAATGAAAAGTCTAGCCACAGATGATTTTCCGAAAAAAAATGTCAAAAATCTTCATTGATTTTATAAAGGATTTTCTTCTCGCCAATGAAGAAAATTCAGAGAAATTGGCCATGATGGCTGAGAAAATTCATGAGATGAAATCTGGAAAAGAAATTTATGCTGTTTCGCCAAACCTTAACAATGTTTTATTAGCAAGAATAGCTGCCTTAGAACAAAAAATTGATTCAATACAAATGATCGTTCTAGACCAAGATTTAGATATCATCCCCAGAATACATCTTAGAGTCACAACCATTCGAAAAAGAGATTTAATACAAAAGGTAAATATTGTTTTGGTAGAAATGTATTTACGGGTTGCAGAAAATTGGCGATTTTTGCCGTTACATGGACACTTAGCTAGTGCAATTCTTTGACTTGTTGTTTTGGCTTTGTGCAGTGGCGGTTTTTGCACCAAATATGGCCACTACACAAAGCCAAAATAGCAAGTCAAAGAATATCACAAACTCGGTATGTACACTGCTCAAAAAAAAAAAAAAAAAAAAAATGGGACAGTGCTATATCTCCCGTTCTACTGGGCCGATTGACAAAATTCAAACTACGTTTTTCATGTCTCGAAAGCGCGACTTGGGATATATATTAGATTTATATATAGTACTATTCTAACATAGGTATTTTGACACAAAATCGGACTTTTTCTGAAATAACATACCAATTTTTTTACATATTTCGATTCTACGACTCAAATTATGCCAGAATACCAAGTTTTGTAAAAATCGTACGAATAGTTTTTAAAAATATTGGCTCTCAAAATTTTAGCTCCTCAATGTTAATTGAATTTGGCAAATATTTATTAATATCTCTTTTTTTATTAAACCTTTTTGATTTTTTCTCTCACATTTCGAAATTTTGGTTCATTCCAAATAAAATTTACCCATTTTTTGCGTTTTATTTTTTAAATTTCTATTTTTAAATAATTTCTATAGATTTTTCGAAAAAAATTTTGAATTATAACCTATAAAATTTTTACCATCATCTTAAAGTAGGTGTATTTTTAAGCACATCTGCAAAAAATTTGACTTTTTATTCAAAATTTTCTAAGATATACACGAATTTACATAATTTTCGCGTTTTGAAATTTGGCACCTTTTTTTTGAGCGATAATAACGCCAAATGTGGTGTCTATGGATTTTGTTGCACTGAATTGCCACAGCTATTTTTAACCTTAAACTTCAAGTAAAATTTTACAGGAGAATTAATTATATGACATTTTTTCCCTTAATGATGCGTAATAAATATTTATTAATACTATATGAAAGGCTATTTTTTTTAAATTATAGATGATATTATTCAAATTTTTAACTATTTTTTTTTTTTTAAATTTCTCTCGTATCTTTTCTTTTTTTAAAAAATTTAAGAGTAAGTTTTTGAAAGAGTAAATTTTTACCTTCGGCGTTTTATCGTCTGCTACTTTACTTCGTTTAAATCGAATTGTCTAAAACTGAGAATTTTCGTTTGATATTTATTTGAATTTTATGACATTAACTGCATAATTTATTTCTAAACAAACTGTTGCTTTTGAAGTGGCTGAAAGAGCGGCTGATACTATTATCCATATTTTTAAAGCACAATATATTTTTATAGAAACATAACATTTAGAATAATCATTTTTTATAAAAGTCAAATTATGATATAAACATACAACCCTCTAGAGACTGAATTAATGGAAGTTCAATGGTTATGTAGAAATGATCTGCAGCTACTTAATGGCTGGATAAGTCAGCAGATTCTGTGGACAAGTAAGAATAATTCTATAAACGACACCAACATTCTGGATTCAATAAACAACGAGGATACGATGTTTACTAAATGAATTTAAGAAGCTTTAAAACATAAAAAATCAACTCATTTTTTTTCCTAAAATGTATTTTTGTGCATAGCGTATTTTCATTATATCCTTAAAATTCTAATTTAGAATGTAATTGTCAAGAACTGAATCCTAATCATCAGTAATATAATAAGTAATTATTACGGTTATTAATAAATCCTTCTTATAAAGTAATTGCAAATATTTCAAAAAACTTTCTGTCTGAATGCAAACATTTTTCTATGTAAATATTTTTAATTTTATATTAATCAAGATTGCACACCATATTACTTATTTCCACTTCATTTCTTACCGTCAGTTCTAGTAGAATTTACAAATCAATTATATTTAATTAAGGATTGGATTGGATTATTTAATTATGGCAAAGCACACGAGCGCTATCTGCCTAAAGGGAGGGATGCCTTCGTGGAGGACTTTCTAAGGGAAACTGGCCCGTATACACGTTACACATGGGGAAAACCACGAAACCGCCCATGCGGCCAGCCCATTCGCGGGATTCAAAACTCGAACTGAACTACCAGTGTTCAGCGTCTTTACCGCTCGGCCGTTGGTGGGCTATTTAATTAAGGAATGACCATCTAAGTTAAGAAGCAGCGTACCGTAACAACATTTCAATTATTGGTTCCGTATTTTTCATGTTACTCCCGATTGGCTAGCTACGTGATTTTTAATGAGTATTCGGATATTACTAGTAACTTCACTTGGAAATCACGCTTAAACTAGGTTAGTTGGTTATTTGAACATAGAAAGAACATGGGAGCTATTTGATTAAGATGCTTTCATAGAATATCTTTGTAAAGAGAACCTAAAAAACTACGAAAACCAACCATGCAGCCTGGGTTAGACTGAGCAGCAAACAATTAGTATTTAACAATCTTTTTTTTTCAAATGCTAGGCAACTGATGAGGCTCCAATTAAATCTCCAATTTAATATTTTATTTGTAAATATTTAAAATATTGTTGTATTCTTTGACACAAAAAGCAGAATTTAAGTTTTGTTAACTCGTTAGTAAACTACCAAGCCGTAGTGCAAATGAATATTCAATTTCTTTGGCAATAATTGTATTCACTTAATATTCTTGGAATATGAGCTAAAGAAGGAACGTTCTCGGAAGATTAAAGAAGTGTTTAAATCCAGTGATATTAGGTTTGTCTTACAAGCTCAGGATCAAAACGATTCTGCAATTGCCCGAGTATTTGACTTGTAAATGGATGTGAATTAAGCAGATGACTTTTAATCTTACGTTATTCAGCCAGAAAACGTATTCCAAATGTTTTGTATTGCA